ACCCCCACCCCAGCCCGAAGCCCTTCCCCTAACTGCCCCACACTGGTCTGCCCTTTGACTCTGGCTCTGTCACAGGCTTCTGGGCTCCATCCAGGCAGATGCTCCGACAGCTACCGCTCCCTCCTGCGTGGAAGCCTGCAGCCAGGCAGGACCTCTGAGTCCAGACACACACCCTCAGCCCCCTACAGCATAAACACCAGGCTCGCATCACACCCAGGCCCGTAAAAGATAATTATACAATCCAATCTGGCAAATTAGAGCCACAGAACTGTCTTTAATTCCTACAATGAATTCGAGGGTTGGATCAACAGGAAAAAATTATCCTGGATCTCTATTGCAATTTGCCCCCAGGTCAGGATTAGGGTTTATTTATCTTTCTTACGTTCTTGCTGAGGGAGGGGGGTGGGGAAGCCTTCTCTGACGCCCATCTCTCCCTCTCCCCACCCCCTCCTGGTTTGCTTGGTAGACAAGCAGGTCTCCCAGTGTTCTGTCCCACAAAGTACCCAACTCTAGCTAAAGTTAAATAAAGCACCAACAAGAGAGGTGATTGATAGCTAGATAAATAAATATTTTTTCACAAAAGAAAAGTGGAAGCTTTCCAAACCCAAACCAAGGGCTTCATTAGTTGGCATTAACTCAATACAGAGTAAGCAAAATAACTGACATGCCCAGCCCTGGCCGGGAGGCTCAGGTGGTTGCACCAAAAAGGTTGCGGGTTTGATCCCTGGTTAGGGCATGTATGGGAGGCAACCAATTGATGTTTCTCTCTCACATCTCTCTCTCTCTCTTTTCCCCTCTCCAAGGCTATTTACAGGAATTGGTGCCCATCTCCTCAGCTCATTAAACCCAGAAGGAGAAAGGAAAAGTTAAAGAGCTGTCCTCCCTGGGTAGGAAGTTCATGGATGATCTGTTTTCTTATTCCTTCATGACTACAGAGAACAGGCATTGTTCAAAAATGCCATAGTATATTAAAAAAATAAAAACAAATAAAATGGGCATTCATCATCTGGAAATAGAAATAAAACTATAAGTGCAATTTTAATTAAAACACAGTTAAAGTAGAAGTCGCAAGATTGTGAAATCAGAAACAGCTTGGAATTTGGAGTTAGACAGCTTGCAAGCCTGATCCAAAGTTGGGGTTTGCAGTGAGATCCGGCCTGGGTGCCCCTGGGACTTGCTGCGGGACCCAGAGTGAGACCGGGAGAGAGACACACCCAGAAGGCAAGACACACGACGCACTCAGAGGCAAACACAGTTCCCACTGACGGGAGAGCAGCAGCTCCCACTAAACGATTCCGTCAATATTGGCTTGAGCCATGAACTTAACCAAGAATCCCAACCCAGATGACAGGTTGCAGGCCGCAGGGTTGAGCAGACCTGCTCCGTGGCATTTTCCAAATACCTGTGCCATTACAGACAGGCAGCTCTGGTGACATTTGTGTTTCGGGTCAGGACCTAGGGCCCTGAGCTCTCCCCGGGGCCTGTTACACAAGGCCAGGCTGGAGAAAGAGGCCAGACTCCACAACACAGCCTGCAGAGCCTACGCAAGAGAGAAGGGCCCGCTGTTCCACGTGAGCCTGGAGAAGAGAGCACGGATTGGAGCCTGAGAACCAGGATCCCCGGGACCTCACTCCAGCACCCAGGTCTCAGACGCTGTCCCCACCCCCTCCTCTCCCTGGGTTCCTCTCCTTCCTCTGGGGTCTAGGACAGAAAGAGGCCCCAAGGCTCAGTCCTCAGCCCAGCTGACTTCCCACCCTTTCCCCTTGACCTTGAAGATTCCCCGAACCCTGCCCCCCACCTTTGTCCTAGGCCACACTGTGCCAGCTGCCTGCAGGGTTCCCAAATGACCTCACATTCTCTCATCCAAATGAGCCTCCGCTATCCCCCACAACCAGGCTCCCCTGGGAACCTCGCTGTGTCCCAGAATTTAACTTCACTCTCTCGGTCGCCCAGAGGGGCAGCCCTCCCCCAGTAATCAAGGGAATGACTCTACCTCCGGTCAGCTCTTCCGAAAACATGGCTCGTGATTGGTCTTCTCTTATATCCCCATGGCCACGGTAATAGACTAAGACCCCTGAGTGCAGAGAGCCTGTCTGATTTGTTTTCTGTCCTATGAATAGCACACATTACATGATACAGCCCTCTTTCAGCTGAATAGAATGAATAAGTGTTAGTATCCCTGAGTGAAAGATAAGATTTAAAACTTCCTCAAGGTCATGCGGCTAGTAAATAGTTGAGTCAACATTTGCACCAAGCTCTCCTGGCTCCAGGGGTAAAGCTGAAAGTGACCACAATGTCTACTGTCGCAGTCATTCCCCTCCTGGGCTCCTTGGCTTTCCAATTGCCTGTTCCAGTCCACTCTGTATACCCCTCCCAGCTTATCATTCTGAAATATCCATCAGCTCTGCCAAACTCTGCTCAACAGTCGTCAATGGCTCCCTACTGCCTTC